CCTGCTAGCAAGAAGGCTGGGCGTGCATGGGGAGCTGGGAGGGGACACAGCCAGGACAACTGGCCCAGACTGGCCAAAGGGATATTCCCTACCATACGACGTCATGCCCAGTACATAAACTGGAGTTAGCCGGGGGGGGAATCACTGCTCGGGGATGGGCTGTCAATCACCGGGTGGTGAGCAATCGCTGTATTGGGCATCACTTGTTCTTGTACATTCCTTTGTCGGTATTATTATTATTGTTAACACTGTTGTTTCCTTCTCTCTTGCTGTCCTATTAAACTGTTTTAATCTCAACCCACTATTTTTTTCCCCAATTTTCTCCCCTGTCCCACTGAGGGAGGAGGGAGTGAGTGAGCGGCTGCACGGTGGTCTGCTGCCGCTGGGGCTAAACCACGACAATATCACAGTGGTGTGTGCAGTGGGAGAACCTGAGTTTGGGTTTATTCTATCTCCTCAAGGAATTTTTGACATTGTCAGAAAAAAAAGGCATCTGTAAGATGCCATTAGACACTATGAGAAATACTGGAACTGCACCATGCACCACTCAGACTGGCTCCCTCGTTTTCTTTATCTCAGTTTCCAAAGGCACAGAAATCTAGGGGCAGCTAAAGCCAGACTCTCTGAAGAAGAAATTATTTTCTCCACAGATCTAAGGCCCTGGAATGGGTCTGTGTGTGATTTAAAAAAATATGTGTTTCTGCTTATTGTCTTCCTTATATCTATGCTTAAGAATATGTGTGGGTTTGGTTTTTTTTTAATTTTTATTTTAGTTACTTTTTGTTTTAATTACATTTACTGCTTGGACTATTGACATCAGTGATGCAGAACCTTAATGTGTATTATCGCACTTAACTCACAAATCTAAATGACATCTATGGGGAAGAGTCAGGCTGGAGACAAGCGTGGGAATACTCAGTCTCACATTTTACTCCTGCGTGGAACTGAGTATTCACACAGCTTTTGCAGACAGAGCAAGACATTTCTGCGCAATAGGGCTGAGGGGTCCACAGAGATTTTTGCAGATGGCAACTATTTGTTACCCAAAGGAAAATAAAAGAAGGAAAAAAGCATTAATGTGCTGACATGGTAAACAATATAGGTTTTCTAAGAGTCCTGGCATTTTCTGATGGCTTAGTCCCTGAGCATTTGGACCTCTCCCAGCCTCGCAGTCGTCTCTAGCACTGGTGTTTGTCTGGTGTGCCGCACAGCGACAGGAGCGGCGAAGAGCCACGATGGAGCCAGTGCAGAGCCCTGCTTGCCGGTGGGCCGGCCAAGGTGAGCCGTCTCACACCAGCCTTTGGAAACGTCGGGTACGTTTGTGCCTCCGCCTCACCTCTGCCTTCATCCCCGCGGGTGCACCGGCAGGTGGCCAGGATGGGAGCATAGCACGGCGCTGCTGTCGTGAGCCCATGGGTGAGAAAAGCTTCTCCAGATGAGTCACATGAAGTCCACGTGGTTTTCATGCTGGCTTGAGTATTTGTAGAGTCATCTGGGTCTGACTGCCCAGTTGCTCCAGCAGCTACAAGCCAGACAGTATTTGTACGGTGAGTCCGAGGTGCCTTTGGTGGCTGCTTGGTCACACGAACCCGGTAAGAGAAAAAGCACAGTTCAGGAAGAAGATGGTGGCAGAGCAGGTGTGAAAAGATAGACCTTAAAATGCTCGGTCTGCCTTAAAGCAGTGTGCAACTTGTGTTCATTGGCATGAAAGGTTTCAGTTTCTTTGATTTGAAAGTATGGGAGGGGAAAAAAAAAAAAACCCACACCAAAAAAGACAATTAGGTAAGATCCATCTGATACCAGCATTGAGCTGCCTGGAGATGTACAATGCTGCATCTATGAAGGCCTTGTGTGGGTGTGTGCTTATTCTTCAGGCTCAGAAATCTTTCAATGGCAATTTATTTATTTTAATGGTAATCTGCTTTTGGCTCAAGACCTAAAACAAGCATGCAAGTATTGACCAGCAGAGAAGTCACCTGCATGACATTGCCAGGGTTGCTCTCCCGGCAGAACAGTTCTCTCACACTGAGAACGGAACTCTTTCAGGACCCAGAATTCAGCTCCCGGGTTAGTATCACATGGTCTTCCAGGCACCAGAAAGTTCCTGCTGGCTTTAAGTGCACATCGAAAGAGTGTCAAAAGGGTGTCACAGGCCGTGCATCAAGCTATGGCAGGAAATGGGGACCAGGTTCCTCCACTTCACAGCCAGAAGGCCCTAGCTGCAGGCAGGTTAGTTCAGCAAGCCCCAGCTAAGTCTTATAATCCAATAAATAACCCCAATTATTTTTGTCGACATGGACATGGCAACCATTTCTTCAGTACAAGCTCTGCAAGAACCTGAGAAACCACTGACGTCTGCAGCAGCTGTGGGCTGTCCTCCACACAAGCCTCTTTGGAACAAAGAGAGGCCCACATTGGGCTGCCTGCCAGGGGCCATGCAAAGGGACATCCTGCAGCCTGGCCCCTCTCCTGCTTTATGGGTCCCCTTCTCTTTCACTGCACGGCCAGTTGATCGTGCTCTTCCCTTAAGGTGCCTGCTCTGGGACAAAGGATAAAGCTGGACCCCTCCACAACAGGAGCTGGGCTCCCCCATTGAACCGTGTCAGCTCTTCAGAAGTGACATCTGTGTGCTCAGCTCCATGCAGAGTCACCATAGTGCTAGGTCATCCTACAACATGGACTCCTTCAGTAGCTGAGCATACCAGGCAGCAGTTAGGCATTTATTACTGGGAGGAACGTTACTCAGAAACACACTTGAAAAATCTGGTTATCAGGGTAGAACACAGAAGATGCCAGGCTTGCATCCAGCTCCAGCATTTACCCTACAAATTGGTTGCTGTGGGAAAAGAGCTTTCACCCAACACCGGCTGCAGCTGCCACCTCTGACCAGTCAGTCAAGGATTTACCAAAAGGAGTGAGAAATAAAGGGGGGGAAGAAAAAAAGTGGGGGAGAAGCAGATGAGAAGAATGTGGCATCAAGTTCAATAATCATTAATTTGGTTATGAAGAACTCTCTGACCCTTCGCCCACGGCCGGAAGCCACTGCGCAGCAGGAACCGTTTGTGAAACCACTCCGTGGAAGGTCAACATACTGTAGGTTCAATATGTCTGATGTGCATTTGTTTCACCTTCACCACCACCCTCCACAAACTGAAAATTAAGCATTGAGTTTATTTAAGAATCTTTACTCTTTTTTTTTTTCCAATTTAAATTATACTTCCGAAATACAAGTAAAAAACCTCACAATGAAATATGTTGCAGATTTCTACAAAATAGTCTAAACAATAATGCACTTACATCATTTACACAATTTACCTTCACAATAAAATAGGAGCGCTTGGATCAATATTTACATATTGACAGAGAACGCGGTTGTGCAGCCATCTGCTTCTGGTGCTGTCTCCTGCCGGAGTACCTCCGGGAGACCGCAGCCTGCAGCTGCACACAAATCCTTCTGCAGGGAGAAAGCCCTGCCAAAGTCTTTCTAGGTGCAGGGACCTGCCCACAGGGTGCCAGAGACCAAAATGGTGGCAAATGTTTGCTTTTTCATCTTAAAGCCACCACTGTAGCCACATGAGCACACATCGATGAGTTATTTAAAAAATTCCCTGATAGAAAATTTTGCTTCGCTATATTAGGCACTTCACTATAAAAGCTATTTATTATGGCTTACGCAAAACAATTCTCTTTCCTCAGGATATGGACTTGGCAGAGTCAGTGAGAGCAAGAGATGTGTCCAAGGGCACACTGTTGAGCCAATGTTTTGGGTTAGCCTGCATTATAACTTTAGATCATATTACTTAATACCAGTCCTGAAGGAAGTATTTTATCAAGACCTGATCTTTCCAGCTACTCAAGCAGTCAGTGTATTTTAAAGCTCAGTATATCTGCACTTTTCCCCCAAATTACTGGTAACTAGAGCTTTCCCTCTTACAATAACTTAACTACTTACATCCATGCTATTCACTGTGCCGTTGGGTGACATATCCCACATATGATTGTCTTAAAAGAGTATACCGTAGGTTGAGGGATTATTTACATGTCTTAACATGTAGAAAATAAAGTTGTAATTTACCAAATAATAAATATAGATCAACAGAGTACAATATTGAAAAAAAATAAGTTAGAATGATTCTCCAGGTGTTGAATTCCCTCCCTTAAGGCCTGAGCTAGAGAACAAAAAACAAACAAACAAAACAGTGATGTTTTTTCAATGGCTGGAAAACATTTTGGATAGGGGTCCTTATTAGACACTGGCTGTTTGAAATGAGATGTTTAGCTAAGCTGACAGGTATTTGAAATCTATATGATCAAACAGCAAAACTTACCTCCAAAAGGAGTCTTTTGGGTAAAACAATTTAGACCAAACATTAATACTGAGTTTATTAGGAGGTTCCTGCAGATTGTCTCGACATTAATTCAGCAGCAAGGAAATAAGCATACAGTTAAGAACACAACGTATTTGTGAGGCAAATACGTGTTAGTGCACATGATTTTCCAAAAACTTCACTCCTCAGCTACATTTGTGCCTATTTCAGAATGCTTCTAACTAGATGGTTAATAAAAGCCTTCTCATGACTATAGCTAAGTTTGCCATTTAAAAAATTAACTGAAAAACAGTTAGGAGTAACTTACTCAAGAACGATGCCAAACTTCAGGTCCAAATACATCAGAACACTGAGAAATTTGGAATCCAAGTTTAAAAAAAAAAAAATCCTAAAACTTAGGTCTATCAAACATAAAATAAAAAAAAAAAAGAGAAAAGATTAAAAGCAGTGGATCTGCTCTCAGAATTGCACGCTCACCAGGTTTGTAAACTCTACATGAAGTCAATGATGCACCGTTCGCTCTAAGAGGTATAATGTAGTTGCTCAATGCAAAGCAGTGCAGATGCTTTGTCTGTAATTTACTTCATGTCTCCTTTTTCTCTTCCTTGAGGATATAAGCATTTAAAGTAATTCAGTAGCTAAAAAGTCTGTCTTATGGGAAAAGGTCTGGGTTTACATGGAAGGCGGGGTGACAGGCGTCCACGTGGATGCTAGCCTGGCATGTGCAGAGGCGTCGTACTGGCTGTCGGGCAGGTCCGTGGGTGCCCCGCCGTCGTACAGCGGGGAGGCGGAGGAGGCGGCAGTGACCGGGTGCGGAAGGGCAGTGTAGTGCGCTGGAGAGCCACGTAAAAACTGGGAGCTCAGGCCGTTGGACATCCCGCTTGACTGAGACACCGGTGTGATGGTGCTGTTACTCACCGACCATAAGTTAGGATACTGACTGAAAGAGGCAAAGTGATAAATAAAATAGGTTATTAGTGACTCCAGTGCCTGCTGGTAGTTGCTCAGGTCACAACACAGCTCCCAGGCTGGGTTTGTTTGCTGGGGACAGTGAATTTCTTTAGGAAGCTGCCAGCCACTGCGAGGTAGGAAGGACCCCCAGGCAGGAGGTCATGTTCATGGCACCCCACCAATAAACCTAACCTCCCTGTTTCCCAACAGCGGATCCAGCACTGGGTATGCTAGCCAATTTTAAGCCAAGCTGAGGAATGAACACACTGGCCTGAAAAATGCAGAGGTTTGAGAGCCGATTCCCGTGCCATGCCATGCCCTTTCCTCAGGGGAAAGCCGCATGGTGGAGGTGGCTGGACACAGCAGCTGTTGGACCCAGACGGGTTGGAATCCATTGCCGTTGAGTCTGTCAAAGCTCTAATCCCCCTTGAGTGCCTCTGTAGTCAGAGAAGGACAGATGCCTCCAGACAGCAACCCAGCCCTCCTAGGGCCTTGTTCCTCATCTCGTGTTAGAAGGGGAAGAGCTAGATCGATGGCTGCAGATTGCACGGATACTACAGAAAGGGCTGCTTAAAGGGAAAAAAAAGCCTTGTTGGGACACCACAACCTCCACTCTCTCTCTCCTCTGGGTATGTATACACACACGCACATGTGTAAACACACATATGAATTAAAATAAACAAGCTGATTCAAGAGAAACACTAAGAGAAAAAGTTCAGTCCTGCTGTGTAATATTACACAGAGCTTTCTACCTATCGATCCCAAGCAGTTTAGCAAAAAAAGATAAATATTCTTCTCACTTTACAAATAGGGCCTTGGACAACAGGGGTGGCAGAAATGCCTTCCTCCAGGCCCCACAGTTCCAGTTCTACTGGTTTTATCTACTGGAAAGCTCTTAGTTCAGCAACTGAAACTCAGTGGACTTTGCAACTTTCCAGATATGGATCTTGGGGACCAGACATGGAAAGACGTGCTAAGACCACCTGTTTACTTCATTAACATACGTTCAGGACTAAACTTATGTTCAGTAATACGGTTATTTTACACTGGGTAATAGTACATCCTCTGATTAATAGCTAAGTGCCTATGTGCATGGTTCAAATAAAAATGCTTTCCACAGACAGAGTGGTAGATCCCAATTGCCAAGAAAGATGCCCAAACCTCAGCCCTCTGTAAATAGCAAAGATTTTACCACCTTCTCTGTATTTCTTTGAATTTGCAATTTTAGCTCCAAGGAACTGACTGTAAACTAAATCTCTGCTAAAGGATCCAAAAGTTTAAATAGTTAAAAAGTACAAAGAGGAGAAAAGACACATTTATATGATCACAAAATGGCAAAGGTTTTCCACAAGTGTATAATCCCACGCTATACTGGCTTCTGTGACAATGCTCAAGTAAAGAATTACTGCCCCAACTGCTTGCTCCTTCTTCACATTATGGTTCACTGCCCCTTCGTTTGTGGCAGAACAAGGGTTTGTGGAGATGGATGGGAAAGCAGCGACTGGTTAAAATGAAATAGATCAAAAATAAGCTTTTTAAACACCATTTTGCTTAAAAGCAAAACGGAGATGAAGCTTAAAAGAGCATCTTCAAAATGAACGGATGTTTGTCTAAGTGATTTGTAATGCCTCATCTATCAAATATTGCTGTCACAAGTATCTGCATTTCCAAAACCAAAACATGAAAAAAATAACTGGTTTTGTCTGTTTCTTCAATCTTTTCCTTGTAAATAGTCCTTCTCCGTGCCACGTCCCCCTACCCCCTGACGGCCAGTGAGTCACACGTGGCCATAAAAATTTCTAATTTACCTCCTTTTTCAGCCTTCTCTTCCTAGACAGTATCAATATAGCGATTTGAGGGCTGCTGAGGGACGGACTCCTACCTGGAGCTGGTAGCTGTGCCAGTGCTGTGGCTCATGGGCAGCATCGTTGTGTGTGTGGGCACTCCTAGAGAAGACCAGTTGTCATGGGATTGCAGCATGGAAAGGCAGGCAGAGGAGTTATCGGCATAGGCTGCTGAGGAAACAAGCAAGCACTTAAAACACACTAGCATCAGACCAAATAATGATCTTGTGTCCAGATGCAACGTATAACAGCTTTAAGCCACCCTCCCCATTACCGCCTTGCAAAAAAAGACAAACTTCACACACGCACAGAGAAAAATGAAGTCAGCTACCGGTTGTGTCAAGTTTACACTTTCGCTGCCACACCCCTGCCGATGCCTTGTTTTGCTCAGCTTACAAATCTTATTTCTATGAAGGCTCTATGGCCAAAAAGCTGCCTTCAAACCACCTGCTCATTCAGCCCATGCTTCCTTATTCGGTCAGCGGGAAGAGTCAGGCTCCTTACTTACACTATCCCAATCACTCTTCCGGGGCACCTTCTTTATCTCCATCACCTACACTGGCAGTAACAGACTGGCAGCCCTGGTTAACAAGCATATCCCTGGATCACACATCCCAGTTTTGAGCTGAGCATGCCACCACGGGCTCTGAAGTCTGCCTTCGGCACCATCAGGAGGGATTGTGGCTTAAACTACTTGGCTTGTGACCAAAACTGTCTGGCCAATGCGGCAGAGGCACTAGGAAGTTATAAAGGGAATCCTATACAGTCATCCGTAGCGAGAAGTAAGTTGCTGTGACAGCTGGTTAAGGGAAGCCGAAGAGATTCTTTGCGGAGGACCAGAAGGAACACCAGAGGCATTTTGTTATTTTATTCTGTTTCATGTCACAAAACTTACATAAGATTTCCAAGATGCAAGAAAAGTCCACAGAAAGCTAGTTTTCCACTTTAAAATGAACTACGAAGCGACATGCAAGATTGGTCAGGCTGCATCTAGAAGCCTGTGTATTACTTCACAATTTAAAATATTAATTTTTTTTTTTTTAATGGGAACCTTCAATATCCATACAGGCTAAAGGGCAAAAATTGTTAACAGGCCTTTGCCAGGACGAGAAAAAAAGAAAGAAAAAAATCACTCTTAAAAATGCCTTCTCTCCTCTCCCTTAACTACCTACTACTTAAGGCACTAAGCCTTAAGCTATTTGGCTACTTCTGCACACAACTTGTAAATAGCTCTGCAGTTTACTCATCTCCACATCGTTTCTGCGGCGCGTTAACTACGGCAGCAGGCAAGTAAAACTGACAGAACCAGGCCCTGGGCTATTACGTGATAAGAACACGTGACACTAACAGAACCAGACATACACTTCTCCATTTCGTTGCGTTACTTGTAACGAGTGATTAAAAGCCTCACTTTCAAACTTAACTTTAAAAAAAAAAAAGTTCCAAGTAAGTTTAAGCTCACTGGTTACAAGAATTCAAGAGCACAAGACAAAGCCAGCACAATATAATCTAATCAATTAGGAGGGGGCACCTCTACACACCCTCAGTTTCTCCATTTCTGGGGGCGCGCACTCATGGCCCCTATTTCTTTGCAACGCTGGCCCCCAGCCTTCTACCGCAGACGGAGCTAGATAGCGACCTCAAATTCTGTGGCACCGCCCGAGAGGCCCCACCGCTCAAAGCTCACGCCCCTCGCCTCATTTCCCACCTTTTGCCAGAGCTGCGACACCGGACTTACTTGGCGAGTTGTTTCTGTGGGTGTAGGGGCTGGGGTAGGGCGCGGGGCGGTGGCTCCTCAGCGACGAGTACCTTTCACAGCCGTGAGCAGGGGAGAGCGAGAGGGGGGCTCCGAACTGAGCGTGAGGAGTGGCAGGGGGGCACAGAGCCCCAGTCCCAGGAATAAGCCAGCTACCTACTGTGGGGAAGCGAGAGGTTTGTAAGACGGCTACGTAATGCAGCCGGGCGGGGAAAGAATCGCAGAAGCGACGAGGTGAATAATCGGTCAGGGAGGAAATGCACACTCGGGGAAAGGGAACAGTTTCAACACGGCTGAGAAATCTGGATCTTTACAACTTTCTGAAAATGAGAAAACGGCTTAGGAAAGCCCTGTGCCAAGCTAACAAGTTTTTAATTACCACTTAATTACAATCACAGTAAGGAAACACTGAAAAGGTTAGACCCTCCCTGACCACATGGGTAGTGTGTGGTCAGTAATTGTTAGCGTAACCTTCGGCTTTACGTTGCTCTTTGGGGGTCTCAATCTATAGCTAAGCTCTGAGGTTTCTCAGGCTGCTAAGAAGAACTCTTGAAAATTAAGTATTTTCACAGAAAAAAAATAATTCCTACTGTAGCTCCCCTCCCCCTTTATAGGCTGCAGACATTTTTTGCCAATAATCTGTTAAAACAGAAATCATTAAAACACTAACACTTTTTATTCATCTGAAAAAAAAAACTTTTTAAGTGAATGCCCCTAATTTTCTGAAAGTACTTAAAACATAAATACTATTTCAATAATGTTCTGCTGTATTTTGAAATGAACTTTTGGCTCCATATCCATATGAATACTGCTGTCCTTGTATACAATGGCAGCTGTCTTTTTGGACACGGAGGTAACTGCACGATTTCACTAGAGGATTTTGAATGTAGTACAGAAGTCTTGACCACACACAAGTAGATCATAACGTTTATACAATAATAAACCTGCATGAACCACAATCATGAGGACTGGTAATATTAGTCTCCCTATGAACTAACAAGACAGCCAGCAAACCCCGCTCTGGAAGTTTTGCTTAACTTAACAGGTGAGATGGAAGAAATCAGAGTTATGTTCATGATGCAGAATGAAAGGAAACGTACACTGCGAATACCCAGACTGCTGGTTGTCTCCCACTTCCTCCATCATCTCTTTGTGATCACTTCTGTAAAAGAAACCGTGTTGTACTTGTTAAGAATCTGCTTTTACAAATCTTTGTAAAAAACCCCCCACACTTTAAAATTTAAGAGCTCTCACCTTTCTTTTGCGTCAAGAAATGCCTTTGCAAATGGATTGTACTTAATTTTTAAAGCTGTGATCTAAAAACAACAACAAATATCTTTATTTGCATGTATCGTCATTCAATATCATACAGCTATTGGGATTTGAATTAGGACTATCCATTGAAGTTAATGAAATCACAGATTTTTGAAGAAATAAGATCAGGCACATAATACCAACCTATGGACATCAATTAAACAGCCTCTAAGGTCTGAAGTATTAGCAGAGGGCTAGGAATTAGTCCCTCTGCCAAATTCCGAGAGACTGAATCGCCTGGGTGTATTGATCAGCTAAGGAAACAGCTAAGAAAGGTAGTACACTAAAGAGTTATAAAAAGCTTCACATTTCAAGCCAGAGCAGAATTGGCATCCAAAAAAAAAAAAAACCACCAAGCTCAAAAAGATTGGTAATTTACGGATTCGTTGAACACAGACATGCTTTTTGGCTAACAGAGAAAGGCCAGTTTTGAAAATAGCACAGTTATTTCACCGTGCAGCTGAAAATGACAGCTGTATTTCTAACCATACTTGTTTGCCCTGCAAGAATCTTTTAAGAATTACTCATCTGCAACGAATCTGCAGTACATACTGAGACAAACAGAGATCAGAACTTTGTGCTATTATACATTCATATGGCTTTTACATATATTAATTTTGTGTTTTATCTTTAATAGTTTTATCTTCAAATAAAGATTTGATATTTCATGTTGTATCTTCAAACAAAGCACAAAAAGAACTGAAAACCGTCAAACAGGATCCATTAATTTGCTCTGTAAAATCCACTTTACCACGTGAAACCTCCTGGTACTTGCACCCTTTCTCCCCTGCTGTGCATACCTCCTCGTTCTGGTAGGCCGTGACGGCTATGAACTGGGTCTCTGGGAAGGAATGGCTGGTGATCATCCGCTGCGGGCCACCCACTCGCACTATATGAATCCTCGGCTCATACTTGTGCAGAGAGTTGAGCATGATCTGTGGGCAGAGGGACGGAGCAGGTGAGCAGGGCCCGAGCGGTGGCAGTCGCTGGCGGGCACAGAAAGCACCCAGGTTTAAAAGTATCGGATGGATCCGTCTTCCCAGCAGAGGAGGAAGAGGCAACAGGTACGAATAAACCCTAAAACCAAAGCGGTAAGGAAAGGAAAGGAACACCGCCACCAGACACCCCAGCTTTTTGCCTCCTCGTCCTCATCCCCGTAACTTGGTTGTTTTAGCCACAAACGCCTCGGCGATGGGCAGCCGGAAGGGTGCATCTACGACACCGTTGGCATCATCAGCTATTCAGAGCAGAAAGGCACTTTAAAAAAAAAGAAAGTAAAAACATCAAGGCACCCGTCCTCGGCGGAAAGACCATCTCTGCTGACAGAATGCGG